TTTTGATGTTTTGATGTTAATAATGAATTGAAATGAGTCACTCTCATCAATGTCAGCCTTGTATCTCTGGTAGTTTTACCGGGGTTAAAAGAGAAATTCTTAAAGTTTATGAATATCTGAAAAGATATTTTCTTATTTATAATATTTATAAACATTTAAATTTCAAATTTTAGTATGTGAGTGTTACATGTGTTTGTATTAATCCTATTTGAAACACAGCAGCTCATGAGTCACATTTCTATATCAAGCCACTCCTGAACTAGAGATAACATCAGAAGCATCTTATCGAGGCTAAGGAGAAATAGAACTGGACTGTTGCTCAGTGGTCAAAGTCCTCTTAGAGGAAAGTAAATTTAGCATTTCTTTTACAAATCTAGGTCCCAAAGTCTGGTGAACGCAGGGAGAGGCACAGTATACCGTCTGTTTGAAGTTCAGTGTGAAGTCTCTCCACAATCTGTAATGATTTGAGGTCACCTGCAGATGTTGGTCCAAAGTCGATGCACCATCTACCTGGAAATTTTAGAGCACATCATACTTCCATCTCCTGACAAACTTCATGGAGATGGCAATTTCCTTTTTCCAGCAGGACCTAGCACTTCCCCACAGTGCCAGAACTGCTACCAAATCTTTTGCTGACCATGTTATTACTTTTACTATTACTGTGCTTGATTGGGGTAGCCCACTTGCCTGACCCCATGTGAATCTATGGAGCGCTGCCAACACCTAACACTGCAGAAGAGTTGAAGGCTGCAAAGCAGCCTGGGAAACCTCAACGGTGCCACTCTCCTTTGATGCCAAAATTGGTGGATGTGGTTCAGGAGGTAGAGCAGGTTCCACTAATCGGTAGGTTAGTAGGCTGGCTGCTCCAGTCTGCATGCTAAAGTATCCTTGGGCGAGATGCTGAACCCCGAGTTGCTCCCAATACATTGGGTTTGAATGTGTGTGTCAATGTTAGATAGAAAGCTAGAAAACACTTAGACACAGAAAAAAGTGCTTGCATGAATGTTGTGTAAAGTACATTGAGTTTAAAAGTGCTATATAAGAACCAGTCCATTTACCAAGCAATTTATGGTAGAAAATCCCCAATCAATTACTGGAGTATATAAATGATAGGGGTGGACAACATAATCAAAATTATACCACAGCAGTTCAGGGAAACTTGTAATAGTGATATTTGTAGAGATGCAGGGGGGAAAAGCTTGTTTTATTGGTGATTGCAGTTTACCGGCATAGGCTTGTGTAAGTGCAAAGAAAATTATGTGCATTTTACTGCCATTGACAACACACTGCCTATTTTGAAGTGTGAAACTAATGCCACAAGGTGCCGGTAGCAGGTCGCTGTACAATATTGTCACATAATAAATTTGAAATTAAAAAGTGTTTTCTAACGTGGCTTTTTGTGCAATGCAACCACATCTGCAATTTCCATCCATCTTTCCGTCGTATGGACCAATAACTATCGAGTGCTCCAGAAATACTCGTCATTTGTTTAATTTCAGGCTCGCACATCACCTGCTGCTAGTATCTTTTGCTTGGGTGCCTTCATAGCCTAGTTGTATTCGGCAGTGTATTTTTGCTTTCAGTTTGTTGTTTCCACATTCAGGAACAGTTTTCCTGTTTGTATGAAAGTTTGTTCAAAGTTTTGTACTTTGCTGGAGGTTGTTGAAGTTCATTCTCAGACATGGCTGGATTTTTGTTGGTGCTGTGCACACAAAGGAACATTGATATTGTTGATATCATGAAGAAAACGCGTTTTTTTTTTTTTCTTTATCACACAAAGCATCATGCTGGTATTATCATGGACAATGTGACATGGTAATTTTTGTTATTTCAAGTCTTTTCTTTCTTTTTTAAGGAAACATTTGAATAATTTCTGGTGATATAGTAGTGTGTATTTGTGTGTATATGTATATTAATGTGTATTTTATTTCATTTTTTAAGAAATACTGTTATTTATCCCAAAAGCTGAGACTGTACTATTTTATTGTTGGCAAAACATTTTAAAAAATCAATAAAATAAAGACAATATCACAAAACTAAACTAGACACCCTTAAATGAACTGCAGTGCCTGTGTTCATTGTGATGGAAAATACTTTGCCTGGTCCAAAAGTGTGGGTATTGATGTTATAACAGCTCAGACAACAACTGAGGCCTTTAACTTCTGAAGTGAAAAGAAGTCAATATTTTTCTTCAATAAAACGAGTTATTTGCCCAAGCGCTGGGCTTCGGCAACCACAAATTCTGCTTCTGAGCTGTGTGATCTTCAAGAAAAAAAAACACAGAATGTCCTTAGATTCATTTCTAAAGGCTCTTGTAATGTTTGCAGTTAAGGACAGAACAGGTAAAATAAGTCCTCAGAAGTGTGTGTGCATGTGTGCATGCACGTTTTTTTATTTTTTTTATTTTTTTTATTTATTTATTTTTGCATGTATGCCAGAGAATGCCATCTCACGCTGTTCCTAATCCTTTGCAGATTGAGGTCAGTGGTACTATTGGATGATCCCGGTGTACAACTTCAGCCCGACTGCTGGAAAGGCTGAGATTGGCTGGTGTTATCTGATTTGTTCTGTCCTCCCGACATATCCGGTGTAGGGCTCTGATTGGCTCAGACGCCTTGAGATGAGGTCAAAAATATTAAATATGCCCACAATAAACGGGCCATCCGACAGGAGGAAGCAGCTAACTGCTTTCACCGTCCATTAGTGTGTCTACAGAAAGAATGCAAGTCGATTTCAGGATTGTATTGGTGGGTGCGGTTGTTATAGTAACTAATGACTGTTCTCACAGGCCCTCAGCACCATGTGGGAGAGTTGCTATGGCAATGCCAGGTTGTAGCGTAGGTGTGTTGTATGTGAGGTTGCTGTTCACTCATTGTTGACAGGAGTGTCAGAGTGAGAGGACTTTGCTACAACCAGTGTTTGAACTGCAGAACTTTTGTGTATTGAAAACACCACAGAGCAAAGAAGAGATATTATATATTATTAATATTATTAGATATTATTAATATTACAGGAGTAACTTGCACTGGATTATGAAACTGATGTCCAAATTAACTAACCAACTCCAAAATGTATAATCAGCTACTAATTTATATTTAATTTCATCTTTGAGAATCCATCATTCAAACAACACAAATTTTAGAAGAGTCCCATAAGATCACACCAGAGTGATTCTGCGGAAGTTCATAACTGATAATATTTAACAATTATTTCCCAGCAGTTACCATCATTACCACTAATTGCTCTGTTTCTGAAACTGTTACAAATAAAGTATTTGAATATAAACACTAATCCAGGCTCAGTAAGATTCCCATGTCAGTTATTTTATTATTGCAAGAAACAAACAAATACATCAGCAGGATAGCTTTATTATTCCTGCCCAAGGCTCCCATTTGCATCCCTTGCTGCTAGGCGGTTTTTCGAGCACTCAATATGACCTCTAGTGAACTTCCAAATTACCTTGAATCAGACCTTGTCTGTGTTTTTGTAAGACACAAAAATGCAGAAACTGTTTATTCTCGTCTGGACTTTTTATACATCTTTACTTAATCCATTTTCAGGAGGCAGTGTCTTATCAGATTGTGGCCCACCTGATTACTTTCCGTATTTTTGTGCCATTACTATCTCATTGTTTTCTTTTTCTTTGAGTGCTTTGTTAAACTCTGGATAACCATATATTGAGTCTCTCTCAAAATCCTCTTTGGTTCTATGCACTGTTGTCCCTCTGATATCTCTTTCTTTTTTAAAAGCAAATGACAGACATCACCACAGTGGCCTCTACTTGCACACATTCAAAATAATGCAAGAGTAAAGCTTTTCTTTCCCACGCATCTACACTTAGACGCAGCAAGTTACTGCGCAGAGGCAGACTCAAACATGCTGAATTGTAATCTTCACAGTGACATTCCCTTAGGAGCGTGAATAGCCAAACACAATGCACTTCAATTTTCTGGCTTTTAAGAAGTGGTCACAGTCCCTGCATGGCAAAGCGCAGAATCCTCTGTGTGAATTATTTACCCAATTAAATTTTGTCCAGTAACCTTTATTTCTAGCATGATCCGCCCCCACCCCCTATGACTGACCTTATTGCCTTTTGGTGTTTTTGCTCGTCTGTAATGGATTTAGTTTTGGAAGCTCAGATCTAATGCTGTCTCTATTTCAGTCTTCCTGACACACATACATAAAGTTTTGCTCTGGTACCTATCTAAAAATACCTCTTTAGCTATTTCAGGTTCCCTTTTAAAGGCTATACATGTTTATTTCTGTCGGTGTGTAGAGTCACTCCATCTTCCTTTCTGAAATTATCACATTTTGATGTATCTTCTGCTTCCTTGCACCCCCCATCTCTCTGATCTCTTCTGTTCTCAACCATCTGGCTTGGATCCCATCCTTTTTATTCTCAGTTGTATTGTAGATAGAAGGGGTTGGGCTGAATTTATTACAGTAAATTTCGGTCTTGCTGTTTTGTATATTTACTATGCGTGATCCAAATGTTCCAAAAGTTTAGTGAGACACTGTAAGATGACATTTTATTATGTTTTCTGTAGCCAGCCATATGGGATATAATCGGTCTGAAAGAAGTGCCAGAGGGGTCTCTGGAGGATTCTGTCTGTGTGAGATGGAGAAAATACCATCACCACACAGTAACATGTGAAAGTCATATATGGAAGAGGAAATGGAGGGCAGTCACCTCAGGGAAAAAAGCAAGGCTGCATTTACACCTTTTCTCACACTGCATAAAATTAATAGCTAACAGTAGAATGGACATTATCACATGTATAATAGCTGCAAACCCCCCAAAATGCTTTTTTGGGTGTATTTGGTTTTCCTTTTTAATCAGCTTTCTATTGTTTAAGGTCTTTTTTTTTTTCACAGAGGTAAAGGGTTCATATATTATTTAAGGAAGCAGATGATGCTATTCTAAAACTGAGTAATTACAGAATAATTACCATTATACACGCTAAGTAATAATTGCCCCTGTTCTTCTGTTTGTTTTTCAGTTATTGCTGACTCTTTGACAGTAACAGCTCCGGCCCAGACTTTGTCCAAAGTGGAAGGCGACACGCTACAGCTTACCTGCGAGGTGTCTCGGACCACAGTGCAGCACACTCACTTGTCAGTAGGCTGGTACTTAAGGTCCCCAGAGGACCCAACCGCCCCGCCTCAGGAGTTAGTCACATTGTCAAGAGACTTCGTTTTGCGCTCTGGGGGGCCGTATCGGCAGAGAATGGCAGCGGGGGACCTCAGGCTGGATAAAACGGGCGCTACAGCCTACAGGCTGACCATTCACAAGCTGCAGCCAGTCGACCAGGGGCTGCTCTACTGCCAAGCTGCTGAGTGGATTCAGGACCCAGATGGAAGCTGGTTTGCTATGACCCGCAAGCAGAGCGACAAGACTCAGCTCCGTATTCAGCCCACTGGTGAGTGAATTGTAAATGGACTGCTTTAAAAAAAAAAATTTACCTTTGCATACACAGTGCAACTATCATTCAGCTCTCTCACTGAACCATTTATCAGTGGATAAAGCTGCCGTCCAACAAGACCGTTATACTTCTTCTCCATTAGCTTCTACTCGGCTCAACTGTACTCTGTTTCAGTCATTTTTCATTACAAGTGAGTACCACCGCAACGTTGGTGGGCTCGACACAGGTCGTTTGGAACCCCAGCCAAGTGGATATTAAAAAAGGTACCTGTTACCAGGTACTGTCATCCAATGGAACACCCTAAAACAGAGGTGAGCCTGGCAGAGTTGGTACTAGTGGAACAGAGGCTTTAGAAACACCGACATGAGGAACTGGGGTTTGAACCACTAACCTTGTGAACCCTAATTCCCTTTCTCTCTGCGCCTCAGAGATAGGCCGAAGGGATCGTATTCTGTGGGAAAGAAAAGGAGGGGTGGTGGGCAGGGTATAGATATTGGTTAGTGTCAGTCCCCTCTGTCCTCTTGAGTGGCACACACTCATGCATGTGGGCCGGGTTTCACTGATTGCTGATCAGTATCTCCGGCTAAGCTCATTAGCTTTCTAAAAAGGGCTTAACTAAACCTCCGCAGATTCTCTACTTTTGTATTTGTGTCTGTTTGATGGGCAACATTACAAGCACATCCAAGAAAAATGTAACCAGCTCCAAATAGTGTGGGTGTTTGACACAGGAGACCTATGGCTTCCACATAAGCAGCTTCCCCAGCAACATGTGGCCCATGGTTCAGAAGGCAGAATGTGTTTTTCAGCCACTTCCTGCCAACAGTTTGTCCGGTGTTGATTGGGCTAGAATGCATTGCTATGAGAGAGACAGCTTTCTTTTAATGCTTCTGCCAAATGTAAAGGAAGAGACCTATGGAAAGCGGAAAGCATTAAGGAAGTTTCCAGCTTAGGGAGGTACTGCGGGGGTAGCAATAACAAGGTTTGCGTGATGTGCAAGTGTGTGGAAACAAAGAATGTGTTGAGTGGGCTCATATGATAATTATTTAATAGGCAGCCAACCTCTAGACCAAAAAGATGAGAAAAAAAGGCAGCTTAATATCTCATTACATGTCCTTATAGCTTCTCACCCGACTCGAGCCCATCACATTCATTGTCCTGCGTTCCACATACATAAAGTATCCCTTTGTATGCTTCCAAGAAAGGGCCAAAGAGATGGGTGATAAACTGCTTTGACATTAGCTCAGTTACCAAGAAAGCACGCAGTGGCGAATGTCTCATGCCAGTAAATCACTTCAAAGAGGAGTCATTTTGCTTTTCTCCATTAAGCATCAGATCCGCTCTGGACCAATGCGACTTGATGGTGCCCCAGATAGTCGTGCGTGGATGAGAAGGAGAGTGAGAACTCCGATGTAAAGCAGGTTTGTCAGATGAGCTCCTGCTACTTTAGTGAGGAGACAAAGGGCACAAAGAGCTCATCTCTAAACATCCTTTGTCACTCTCTGTCTTCCCTATAATCTATAATGGATGCAGGGTTGTTGCGTGACAAAGAGAATAAAGCAGTTGCGTTGTGCAAGCTATGAATGTAACTGCTCAAACTTCAGTGTAATGCGTAAATTCATTTTGGTTTTCTTTCCACGTGCTTATTGCATGACGAAGGAGCCACTTGCACGCCTTAAGGCTGAACTGGTGTATGTGACGTTCCACCTGTCCAAGTGCATATTTGACAGAGAGCCAGGGAAATTTAGAAAGGAGAGGGAGCAGCTTCTCCATTAGACTCCTATTATAAAAGATGGAGTGGATCTCAAGACAGCCCCATCACTAGCTAATCACCCACTGCCGGCATCAGAGAGATGAGCAACAGACAGAATCTTAATGTACCTTTCACTCCCCCCCCCCCCCCTTTTTTTTCCCCCACCATACCTATCTTTTTTGGTCATTCCACTCATCTCCTCCCTTGTTCCCTTCTTTCACATACCCTCTTATTTTTCTGCAAACATTGCTCATCACTGCAGGTTTTTTTTCCTTCCTCCTCTCCTCCTCACTTTGGCTGCTTGTGCTTATCATTTACTTTTTTTTTTTTTTTTAATTACACCCCAACATGAATATGTGTTGGCTCTTTAAGATGATCTTCTACCAGATCTATACTGTATTAAATTAAAAAAATAATCCCAGTAATGAATGCGTAGAGTTTCCTAATATGTATTTAATAATATATTTGGAATTTGTTGCCAGCAACACATGGCAGAAGGCAGATTTATACACATTTATGTTTTGTATGTGTCAACAATATTCTCTTACCTCTCATCATAATTATCTCTGCGTAACTAGCTCCATACTAGGGGCAGGCTTTGACCTTTTCCACACGAGTGCATTTCTCAGAAATTCACTTTAAAGTCTTTGTAATTACTGCTTGGGGCTACCAACTCACTGAGATGTTTTGCAGCTGTCTCCGATACGTACAGAACTCAGGATCTGAACATTAATATAACAAACAGACACAAATGCAATTGCACATGCAGAGACAACAAGCATGATTTGGCCAGGTAGGGGGCCCTACCAGTGTTTATTCTGCTCTGTGGTTTTAGATCATGCAGGAAAGAAAAAGCGTGCCTGACTGTTTCAAACAGCTAACGAGAATTTTAATTAGAAGTGGGGTTTTTTTTTCTAATTGCAGAGGTGAAAACTAGAGAGGAGAGAGCAGGCCTGTCTGTTATGCCACTATCCCACCGAGTGACCTCAACCATCTCTAATTTATATTCTTTTTCTCTGCACGAGCTGATGCCATGTTATTGCCCCATGGCTTTCCTGAATACATCAAACCCCACCTCTACCACCCACTGCTCAGTCTTCGTAACCCCTTTCTCTTGGGTAATGCATGTTCAGCTTACCAAGAAAATGAAGCAGCACTGTGCGCTTCGGTTTCGAGCAGCTTTAATTGAAATCTCCGTGCATTTATTAGCCTTTAACCTTGTTGTTTTCATTTGTTTTCCTTTCTTTCAGACCGGGATTTCAGCATCCAGGTGAGCACGGAGCGACGGTCCTTCACGGCCGGTGAGCCGCTGGAGCTTCGCTGCACCATTGAGGCGCAGAATGTCCCCGAGCGTTTCTTCTCGGTGTCGTGGGTCTTCAGCAGCTCACCGGTGGCCGTGGTGGGCCCCAGTGCCGTGCCTAATCTGGGCCCCGATTATGTCGCCCGGGAGGCCGCCGGTCAAATGACTGTGCGCAAAGAGAGCGTCAACGTGCACCTGCTCAAGCTGCAGCACTTGCGCCCTGAAGATGCCGGCAAGTATATCTGCCGCGTAACAGAGCGGGAGAAGACGCCCACGGGTGACTTCATCGACCGCAGCAAGAGATCCCGCAATGTCCAGATCACAGTCCAGGCACTGAGTGAGTAATAATCTGTTCACTGAAGCCAGTTGTGTGGCCGTCCTGTCCTTAGTTGTCAAGTTCACTAAGAATGATGACATTTTGATAATGGCTGTTTTATCTTCACTTAGTCCACATATAATATCGTGCTGTGATCCTCTGCTGCGTTTCTCTGCCACCCCACCCCTGTGTCCTGTCCTTCTAAGGGTGGCTATAACGGATAGCTGCAGAGGTTCTATTGTTAGCTGTGAGTAAGAGGGAATGGGATAATGCTACTCTTATTCCTGATGTATTTTCTGTTTGAGTGGATTGCTAAGGATTGGTAATGCAGCATTATGGTCCTTCCCATTTCCTTGGCTTAGTGGGGGAGATGGGGAGGGTGGGTAACACTATAGTAGGATAATGGAGAGCAGAAGAGTCCTGAGTGAAGGAGGCTGAGCTAACAGCCATGAAATGAAAGTGTGGAGAAAGAAAAGAAGCAGAGAATGGCATCTAGCTCTCCAGGGCCCTCTAAGTGGCTCCCTAGGCTAAATTAATGTGTTCTGCTGGGGCAAACCTCCTCAGCTGGGTTAAGCAGGGCTAGCCAATGGGGTGATGTCAGCCTTGCAGCTGATTGATACAAATATACAGTTAAACCTTTAAAACCTTGTTCCCAAATCACTTCTGGTGTTTTTTCTTCTACACAGTCATAGCATCTGTGTCTGATGCTGCCTTCCCTTGTCTCTCTGTGCTACCATGCCTCTGAGGACTAGAACAGTGCATGGAGCCAGCCAACTGATACCAGCATAATAAAACATAATGGCCACAAAGTAGTATCTCTGCTCAAGCAGCCGATGCTACCTTATTCTGACCGTTCTGCAGCCCCTGTTAAATCACCCCAAAACAATGGCCCAGAGCCTGCAGCAGTCTCTTGGGAATATCTCTGTATGGAAGGTTTGTTTTTCCAACAAAAGGCCCTAATGCCATATAAAGGATGTTTATAGGGTTTACACAAGATAATGGGCATGGTTATTGGTGGAGAACTTTCATGAAACACAGCAGTAGTGTTCGGGGAGCGTGTGTGTCGTATGCAGACTTTCCTTATGCCTCCTTTCTCTTACATTCAGGCACAGGCACAAAGTTCGAAGATGTGCTTCATCACTTTAATTTGTGGAATTGGGGGGAAAGCTGTTAATGGGTTGCGACAGGGGTTTATAGTTGATGATTTAGCGGCAGGCAGAGGTTACAGCGAAGGAAAAACAGGGGTAAACACTCATGACAAATGAATGTTGATGGATGGAGTTTACCTTTGCACTGAGAGAGGGAGGGAGAGCTCACTTGCCAGACTGAATCTCTATCATAAAGATGGAAGGGACAGGTGATAAGGTAGGGAAAGAGAGTTGGGGCTCTTTGGGATTGGAGAGAAAAATGCATTCTGTTCAGCACAAAGGAGAAGGAGCCGGTGGGTAAAAATTGAAAAAATAAAATAACAGGGAAAGGAACGTTGACTAGACCAAGAGATTTTTAAGGGTAGGCAGGCAGATATATCTACATGTTACAGTCTATTCTTAGCTGTGTAAGAAAACTATGAGCTGTTCGAATGAAAGACAAAAGTAAAGGATGAAGCATTTTCCCTTTTTTAATGTGAATCTGATAGAAATAAGAATTGAATTCATTTCATATTCACAGAGGACTCATGCTTATTAGGAGGGCCGGTGAGCTGAGAGGGAGGCAGCAGAGCTTGGCCTAAGGGAAGGAAAAAAAATGTGAGAATTCTTAAGCCGCACCCCCCACGAGACAGCAGCACTAGCTCCGCAGAGGGGAGGAGAGCTTATGGGTCAACCAGAGCTCCGTGATGTTTGATGGATGCTGAAGTGATAGGAGTCTAGATAAAGCAGAAAAACAGAGCAGAAGAGTCAGTAAAGACTTTTATCCTTCTCCTCTGAAGTGCCACTGAGCCCTGTGATCTGAACCTTCTTTCCTGTGCGTATTAAGGACTTGGTGAACAAGCTTCACAAGGTTCAGGAAGAGAATCTCAACCCACACACACACACAAAACTTATCAGTGTGTCTACTGTGGCTGTCACTCTGATGTGCCTGGGGCCAGTTACAAAACTGCACTATCTTACCCTGACACATGCTTCCATACACACTCATAAGCATGCAAACAGACGCACACAGCACTTTTACAGTGTTGCACTCCAGGGAAAAGCTCAGCAATTTGATTTATTGCCCATGGCCACCTCTGCTCTGTGAATTGTTTGACACAGACAGAGTTATTCTAGCTATCTCTTGGATTCAGTTTGAGAAGGAGTTACGCTTTTGGATAAGTTCCTGTGTCCTAAAATCCGTATCAAATATAGTATCTAGATCCGATCACTTTTCCTTTTTTTTTCTCTTGCTTTCTTTTTGGGGGGCTTTTTGTGTATTTCATCTTTAATTGATATCGTGGACATTTTGCCCTAATCGACACTTACACGTCATTATTTTCCATCATCTAGTTTTCTATGAGCACAGTGACTGTGCTGGTGCAGTCATAGCTCTGCCTTGATCTGTGTTTTATAAGCAGCCAATATTTTATCAGGATTGGGAACTAAACATAAATTATACAGTAATTTTCATACAAGGAAAAACATAGCAGACAGAAACCACAGGCTACGTTCCCACTAAAAACAATGACCAGCCCCAGTCTGTTTTTTTTCAGTATGGAACTGGTTCCAGGTTTGGACCCAGCGCTGCACTAGTGGAAAAAAGATGAAAATGTTTTGAAAAACCTCTACTTTACACAAGTGTAGAGATTGCAGTAAAATTCTGGCATGGGAGTAAAATCTATGGAGAGAAATATGCCTAAAAATGCATATGCTATGATCCACAAGTGTAACGATTTACAAATGTGTACAGTAATTTATGAGGACTCACAAATGTGTGGTTCAGTCCTTGCACAAATGTGAAGTAAAACTATTTAATTTTATTTACATTTATTTATTTAGATTAATTTTTCCAGAATGAAGACTGATCATTTACACACAATTTTTTAAGTTTGGTTTCACAGCTCTGATCATTTTCTCTTTCAAAAAGCTTTCTGTGCATTTAAAAGTCTAAAAATAAAAATACAAATAAAAATATTGGGGAAATCCGTTTTTAAAATCTACAAATATAAGTCTTGGTTTTGGTATCAGTCTTAAAAATCTTATCAGTTGGTATGTAAGTAAGTAAGGTTTACTTATATAGCACTTTTCAAGAACAAAATTCACAAAGTGCTTTACAAAACAGAAGTATGTATACACCAAGTTGGTTTGATTGCACTGGAATGGCTGGCGCATTAGCGTGTCAATTGAAACTAGTGCCAGCTACCCCTCACACCTCTTGATTTGATATACTTGTTAGCCTCATGATCAACCAGTCTTTTCCAGTCGAAATTAAAAACAAAGCAAAACAAAACAAAAAAAAAGATCAAAAGGGCCCGGCGGCTTTCAAGAGAAGTGGGAGGCAGAGTAACTGATCGCTAACATGAAAGGGTAAACCTCTTTGTCTTGTGTGCGGAGCCGATGTGACCATAATTGAAGAATATAGCACAAGATGACACTATGAAACAAAACGCCAGGACAAACAGCAGAATCTTCAGAAGGCAGAAGAGATGAAAAGAAGTTTGGTGTCATGGCAGACTGTGTTCACAGAAGCAACATTTCAAAGAGAGGCTGTTGTTAAAGCCAGTTTTATTGTGGCAGAAGCAATGGCCAAATCAGCCTGGTGACAAAGTGAGGAGGAATTTTTAAAGTGCTGCATATTTAAAGTGTGCAATCCCAGACAAAAAGTAAGCATTTTAAGTACTCGGAATACTGTTACCGATTGTCTTTGTGAGGTTGCCACCAATCTGCAAAAACAGCTGATGGAAAAAGGAGAAGACTTTGCTGCAAATTCCCTTCCTGTGACATGGCTGATACTGCCCAGCTCTCGATCTTCATGCGTCGAGCTGACTCCAGGGGAACTGTTGGAAATTAAATCAATGCAATGGCACAACTAAGGGAAAAGACATATTTGAAGAAGTAATCGAAGTGGGTAACTTAAATGAAGCTGCTTTGGGGGAGCGCCAAAGGAATGACAACAGATGGACCGCCTGCGATATGTGGTGAAAAGAGTGGCTTAGTGGACAGCTGTGTGGGAGAAGACGCACTGGTGAAGTCACAGTTTATAACTGCCTTATACACCAGTAAGTGTTGTGTGGTAAAACCCTGAAAGTGGAACATGGAATTAGCCCGGTAACACCAACATTTATCATTACATGAACCAATGGTTTAAGAGATGATGTCTGGACATGAAGGCATGCCCTATCACACAGAAGCGTCATGGTTAAATGAAGGGAAAGTGCTGGAAAGCTGTTTCAAGTTGAGTTTATGGAAAGCAAAGGGAAAGATGCCAAAGAGCTCGTGGATGAAAAATGGCTCTGTGAGTTTGAATTTTGGTGCGAAATACCAGTTCACTGTGGTAGGGGCAGCTTCAGGGGTAGGGCCATGTGATGATGAAACATGCAAGAGCTTTTAAAGCCAATCTGGCCCTGTGGGAAACACAGATGTTAGAAGGAAACCCGAGTCACTTGCTGTCAATCGATGATGGAGCAGATCTGTAGCGCTGCATTGCCCGTTGCACTTTTTGTTGAAAAACTGAGCAAACACAACTGCGCTCTCAGAGCGAGTTTTCTGACTTCGAAGCCCAGAAAATCAAGTTTGAACTTCTCAGCAATCCATTTGCAGTTGACTGTGAAAGAGCACCTATAAGCACACACACACACACACACACTCACACAAGCTGCTCCAATGCTCTGCATGTTTGGCAGCACTTAACTGCATTTGGCAACTTTCCTCTGTGATAAAGACGAACACCAAACAGGAGTCTCGTTACTTGTGCACACGTTCAATCCATCCTGAAAATATTCACAGCACAGAACCTGAACCAAACACTGAACTTGCAGTTTGAAGAGAAAAACAACGACCAGGCATCTGGCTTAAGCTGTTTTGCATCACAGCAAAGTGTGGTTAAATATATATGCTTCTTTTTTTTCTTTTTTTTTAATCTTTCAACAGATTGATCATTAAAATGTTGTTTCGTTTGTTGGTGTTAATGAAATCAGAATAATTTTAGATTTCCATCATGGACAAAACAGTTTTAATAGTCTGCAAGAAAACATTTTTTCTGGAAATGACTCAGAAAAAAAGTGCATATTGAGAAAAATACATCAAAAATAAATTCTACTGATACATTCTTTCATTTTTTTCCTCCTTTTCTCATTTGTTTGTTAGACACAAGTGTTCTTAATTCTAAGATATTGTAGGAGAGTTAGAGTTTGTATTTCTGTATGAATAATTCACCATAATACAAATAATTATAAAAAAAAAATCATGGGTCACTTCAAGTCTGTTTTTTTTTCAATAAAATATTTACCATGATTTGGACGTAGCCCCTCTATGACTGACCTTGACAGTCCTTGTTGTTCAAAGGCCACTCATGAGTTAAAGGATGCTGATCAGCCACAACATCAGTACCACTGATCAGTGAAGTGAATGACATTCTGCTTTGTAATAAGATGAACAAACTTTGAGCCTTAACATTAATGGCCTCAATATGAAGCACCTTTAGCAACACAGTGGGGGAGCTACACAACATTAAGTAGGCAGATAAACTGTTGTGACTCGATGTATTAGAGCCCACTTGGAATTTGACCTGACAAACAGACTCTGATGAAAAGGCTGAAGAAAACTTTTCTCTGGTCTGATGTGACAGAAGTGCAGCTCTTTCGTCAGAATGGCCCTGTGACAGCCCACAGTTTAAAAAACCACAGTTTACCCATGGAGAGACCTGAAGATGTCACATTTTAAGTCTGTTAAGACATGAACTTATTGAAAAACACTGCAAGCCATGCTGGATAGACTTTTGCAGAGTTCTGAATTTAGTAATCCATCCATCGCATCCATTTTATTTTGCTTATTGGGGGCAGGTCACAGGGGCAGCAGCCCAAGCAGAGAAGCGCAGACTTCTTCTCCCCAGCCTCCCCCTCCAGCTTATTAGTATTATTATTTATGTAAATGGGCGTGTGGATATTTTCTCAGTCAGCTTTCTCTCTGCATCACAACCAACTCACTGTCTATCTCTGTATTTTCTCTTCCCACTCAGAGAGCAACATCACAGTGTTCTTGTCCAGTAACTCCTCAGTGGTCCTAGAGGGTGACGTGATCCAGCTGACCTGCACAGTCCACGCTACCACGGGCCCCGTGTCTGTTGTCTGGCAGTGGACAGACAGCAAAACAGCTTCACTGACCAAGGAAGTGGCTTCCATTGATCGGGACGGCACAATATGGCATAGCCCCAGCTACAGAGAGCGTGCCAGTTATGGGGAGATACGCGTGGAGAAGGTGCGAGCTGACACATTCTCTCTTTCCATACACAACGCCTTACCTGGGGACAGGGGCCTGTACCGCTGCTCAGCCACTGAGTGGCTTCACACCGGCTCTGAATCTGAGCTAAACTGGGAGAAGAGTGAAGAAAGATCCGACACCAAGATGGTCAATGTCACAACTGTCGGTGAGCAATGTCATCCTAATCTGATCTGTATTCTAATATCTACAAGTCAGTGAGGCATGTAAATGCCCTGACAATTCCAGCATGTCTGTACACAGAATCAAAGGGACACACATGGGTTTTGTGATTTGCTAAAGACTGACAAATGGCTCAGGAAAAACATGGAGTCCACATGGTAGAATAAAGCATGTTTTATTCATGTACTGCTTAGGGGCTAGAGCTATTATGACACACACTCTCACACCACCTGCCTCATGTCAAGAGCAGTGCTTCCATGACACCCATGATAGACCCACACGTGCGCGCACACACACTTGGATTAGCCAGAATTATTAGAATGGAAATGCAGTGGAAATGTGTTTCACAGTCTGTGGGTCTCCTCTGTCATTGCTGACTTAAGCTGAACATCCTCAGTACAGGCGGAGGAAGCCACTGGAGCAGAGCAGTGAGGCGCTGGCAGGGCAGGAGCACCGTGTGCAGTATGCGCACACACACACATAGACACACAACTAACGGATTAGCTCCCTACAGCAGCAGACAGTGGTGCTGCAGAGAGGAGATGTCAGTTTTTAAGTGGCCATTTCTTAAGTTTGGGCAACAACAGAAACATTTGTTTGAGGAACAAGGGACATATTATGCAAATCCGAAAAAAGGAAGTCCAAAGATGTTCATCTTTCTTCAGTTGCACTTCTCGACAACCCTCTTCTCCTCCATGCTTGGCTTTCTAAACAGGCATGATAGCATGACGGTCAATACGTGTGTTATGTCTGATTTGTTTTGGCCTGTGTTTTTCCTCACTTTAGCTTCCAAAAGCATGTTTATTGGACCTAAACCTACCATGTGAATGGAGCATTTGATTTAATTAAGCATTATTCTTTTTTTTAATGTATTTAAAAAGAAAAAGAAGATCTTACACTTCTGTTCCTGAGCTTAAAAGGCCAATAGTAGCATTTTCCGATTGAGACAAGGGGTATATTATTGGACATATACTGGACATTCAAAACTTGCATCAAAAGCAGGGTTTGTCCCACCCAGCCTCCGACAACAACAAACACAGGATTGATTACTGCTTGTAAAAGCAGTGACTGACAGTGTGGTGGGTGAAATTTCATGCGGCCACTGTGCCCATACCGTATTCTATATCATCCTTATTCACAATTCCCTTTGCTTCCTGACAAGACCTACTGAGAATAGCAAGTGGATGTCCTCTGGGACTTATTTCCAGTTGACTGGCATTAGGGGCCCTTATGGTGTTTCAGGTGGCACACATAAGCAGACAAACGACAGTGGAGGGTAGATATTCACACACACGGTGTTCCAAACAATCAAGCACACTTTGTACGGTAATGGAAAGAAACACAATGTTTATTCACACACAAAAAGAGAGTTGTATGGGGAAAAAAATGGATCAGCGTGAAATCCTCTTTTCTGTCACTGAGGCAGACAGACTGTGAGGGGAAAATGGAAGAGGGTTGCCAGGCGATGAGAGATGGAGTGAGAGGGGAGAGTTATTGTCTGTTAGAGAATTATGGCCCCAGGCGGCTGTCCCAGCTGTAGCCAAGTCTGGACAGAAAGCCATTGATTACATCCTGAAGGACGCTGAGGATGATGACTGTCAGAGGACAGGAGAGGGTGAGGGACGGAGAGAAAGCAACGATGCTGTCGACAAGAACATAATGGAGAATGCGCAAAGTCTCAAGGAAACGAATTATCCGATCTGGCAAAAGTCAGACTTCATCAACATGTTTTCATTCCACCTCACGCTTTTTTTTGTTGTTGTTTGTGTTGTATCTGTGTATGACCATCTTTCTCATTTTCAAGTGCAATCAGTCACATTCAATGAGTGCCCTGAAATAGGTGCAGCAGGGCCAGAGAGAAAAGGGATTGGTTTTTTTTATTATTATTATTATTATTTATTTGTTTCACCCAGTCTATCTCTTTTCTCTCTCTGATCACTCTTGTTTTCCAGTGTAGGTGTCTGTTGGCAGTAATATAAGGAGTTGGGAGATTGTTTTTAGCTTAATGAGGATAGTTTAGACTTGGCAAGCAGTTGAGCGTAGATCGAGCATCGGCGCTTAGAGGAAATCTCCCCCCTGGGTTTTCTTTGTTGCATCACCGTTAATTTTGAGGCGCTCTCTCACAGTCAAGCTTACAAATTCACACTCACGCGCACACACAGCTGTCTTTTGACACCTGTAATGATGCTGGAGAATACTTGGAGACTGAGAAATGCTTTACCTGTGAACTCTTAGATAAGTATGGTCTTATTCAGCAGTGGACTTTCTTCCTCCTGGTACCTATGCTGAAACAAAAACTCTTTCCAGAATGTGATTACTTTTTAAACTTTATTATGTAAAGATTTATCATTAGTCAGATAAAAAGCCCATTTGACTGTGTGCCAGCCTAACTTTCCTTCCCCTCTTCTTCCATCATCTAGAGTCCTCCTTCTCTGTGTCGGCCTCATCGCGCACACCATCCATAACCTTCGGAGACTCCTTTGATCTCCTGTGCCTGGTCAAGCCCCGCCATAACCCACGCGTCCCCACTTCCGTCACCTGGCACTTTAAGCCAGCTGGAACAGAAATCGATGGCGAGGCTGAAGGAGAGTTCAAAGAACTGGTGACTTTCACACGCGAAGGCACGCTGCAGTGGGGAGAGCAACTGCTGGGATTGGGCACCCGCACCACCGTGGACCGCTCCCACTCCCACACCAATTTCTGGCTGTCTGTGACCCGGGCTGGGCGCCGTGAGGCGGGCAAATATCGTTGCACTGCAGTCCTGTGGAGGAGGAACTACGACAACAGCTGGAGCAGAGTGGCCAATCGCACTTCCAACCCACTTGGCATCAGTGTCCTACAGCCAGGTAAAGCTGCAAGGCTGTGTTGCCAGGTTGACACACACACCTAATTGGAGTGGACACAGACCAGCACACAAACGGGGATAAACACAGATTCAAACATACAGTCACACACAGACACACACAGACTTATACACTTTCAAATAGGGTGAAGGCACCAGAGCTTAGAGGATTTCTACCTGCTCTAATTGCTCTTAGTCTGTGGTTTAGCCACTAATTGGAGTTTCTGTGTGTGTGTGTGTGTGTGTGTGTGTGTGTGTGTGTGTGTGTGTGTGTGTGTGTGTGTGTGTGTGTGTGTGTGTGTGTGTGTGTGTGTGTGTGTGACTGAGTATGCAGGGCAGGGTGGAGCCTCCTAATGGAGCGCAGTGAATGGATTGCTAAATATCCCACAGGAAGAGAAAACTGAGTGAAGGAGGGAGGAGAGAAAGTAGCAAAGGACAGAGACGGAGCGAGAGAGAAAGTGTGATAAAGGGAGTGAGCGATCTGTCCTTGAACCCTTTTCCTCAGCGGAGGCATTAAACTGTCTATTCCACCCTCATTGGCCTTCTGTGCTTCACAGGCACACTCACATGCACGCACAGAACCCATTCAGACACAGCCCAATTAGTGGCCGAATGCAAACAAAAAACCCCCACAAAGAAGCACAAACCCGCTTTGGCCCAATTTAGCCCAGTCTGATGTACCTTAACAGTACGACACTTCGTTTATTGAGGAGAATTTACCTCTGGAAAAAAGCTCATCCTGCTGATAAAATAACCCACTATTTTCGTAGGATTTAAAGCAGTCCAACTAAGCGTTGTTGTACCTGCTGTACAACAGGGGATCCGATTTGTTGGATTTAGCAGGAAGAATGTCAGCGAGATGTGTGGGTGGGATGACAAGTAGTGCTTTCAAGTGTTAAAATAATATCAGCAATCATTGAAGTGAAATACAAAGATTTGGTCTGCAGTGTTCTATATGTGACCGTGAACAATGCGTGCCTGCAGGCACCTGTTCAGGTGGGGATAAGTGAGATGCTGTATTGAGTTCAGAGGCACTTTGTGATGATCAACAGCACTTTTCAAGTCGGCCAGATGAATGTCGTTGCACGTATAGTATGAATAGTCTTTCATTCCGTGGTGCTGTTAATTCAGATGCTGTTGCAGAAAGTCATACTGCAACAGATGAAACTTTCTTTAGCAAAGCATCTTATGGTGAAAGTCAATTTGGTTGTTTTGACCAAGTGTCCCACGTCCAGTAGAATTTCAGCAAAATCATATTTTCATCAGTACATGTTCTTGTCAGTCAGTACAATACACTGACTCAGCTTTCGTACTTGATCCAAGGTCAAGATGGGTCAGCTGAACATCACCTCTCTTCCTGTTCTCAAACTCAACTCAGACTTAATGTCTCTCCCACTGCGGTCCTCAGTGCAAGCCACGCATGCACCTCCAGATGAGTGCAGATGGGACTAAAATATGTAAGAAAGAAATACGAGCAATAAGAGTTCAGTTTTATTATCTAGAATGCAGCAATACATAATGCAAACATGTATTAAACAAACCTATAGAAGCACCACAGTGCAGAGACGGTGCTTTACTTGCGTGACTGATTCTGCTCTGACCTTAACCGCTCATGCAGACCGCGCTGCATCTCCGGCCCCTTCAAAAAGTATTTGGAAATCAACTTATCATCCTGAATGCTCATTTACCTCCTGCCCGTGTGCAGTTTACTTTGTTTATCCATAACCAGAAAAATGTAAAAGGACACAAACACACAGAGACAGACATTTCATAGCAATCAGGGGTCTCCTCCTTCCACTCTCTTTTCCAGCGGTGTCTGTCTCTAAGACAAAGTGATCGGTTAGCTTGGTAATGCCATTAGTTACCATGACGATGTGATCAGTTATCGACTTCAATCCAATCAGTAACCGTAACGATGCAGTCATTCTGTGCATGAGGGCACTGTCACACAGGGGGGGGGCGAGCGACTGATTTCCTTTATCTCATTGGTTACCAAAGCTTATTTCAGTCATGGTCATGCCGTGTTCGTGTCCACTGCCTCTTATGGGGTTTTCTATCTTCTTCTTCTTCTACATTTCTTTTTTTGGTTGTGACCTGCATTTAGGCCGATGATTCATTTGTCAAAATGTAGGACGTCTCTTTCTGCCTCACGCCTCTCCTCACCATCTGTTTTTCCTCACTGTTTCCCTAAATGTTAACCACTCCTGGCTAAATGAGCGGCTGGCATTTACTGTTCCTCTCCCACAGAAGTGGGATAAAGGAGAGTGTGTGTAATGAGGTGTGAGCAAACACAGCATCTGACCAGATACATAATTGAGAGACTTTAAACCATGCTTCCAGAGGTACTTTTTCAATATGTATGAGCTGCTTTGGCAGCGTACATACATACTGCATATGGGCATGCCGCACACCTTATGGTCAGCTTCTGCAAGCTTTCATGTTAATATCTGACAGGTTGACCAGCTTGTTAAAAATGTACTGTTAAGAAACCTTGAAATGTGGCTACTTTGACCTTTGACCTACTTTGATGTACCACTACATTCAAATAATAATAATAACATATTTATATATATATATTTTTTAGTGGCTTACCAATGTATAAAGAATCACCCAACAGAAAAACAGTTTCTCTCAGCTTTCTGATGGTCTGTTATACCGCTATCTTTAATTCAGAAGAAAGGTACATGTGTGCCAAGCATAGGGAGGTTTGTATATGTGAAATGGCGCTCTTCATTAAAATATCGCTGAACTTCAAAAGCAGGGACTTAAAACTTGTTTGCCCTTAATCAACAGAAGAAAATAAAAATGTTGGAAGTCGATGAAAGCCGGACCAAACCCTCTGAGGAGTAGGCTGGTCAGCGTTATACACCGTCAAACTAGTGGGGTGTCTGTAGCCCAGTCCAAGCCTACATTTTCCAGATTTCATTAACAGTACAATGCCTGTCCCATGGGTCATATCAGACAAGTTCACCACCATATCTGCACACGCATACAGTTATTATGTTCATTATGAGAGGCAACTCTGTGCAGCAGTTTGGCTTGAATTATCCACCATAGCCTACATGGAGAAAACCATCGCTCACATAGGAGCACAACCATCATCATCCTATACAAGAGCACAGTGTCTATGTGTGCGTGTGTACACACATTTGGAGGGGGGTTGTCTCCCTGAGCAAAAGTGTAATTATCTTATGATGGAACATGATTCCGTATTAGATCCCACAGCAGAGTATAGTCGCCAACAAACGGAAATAACATAAACACGCCGTGGCTATACAGCTTCACGTACAGTGGTAGTGATATTAGATTTCACCTGATTGAGTTTTCTCTTTGTATCTTTCTGAAACGCAATAATGGCAAACACATGTTCAGCATGGCAGATCACCGGGGAAGCCTCAGTCTCTCTAACACAATCTAATATCATCTACTCATAACGCAGACTACACACACACATACACACACTCGTACGCAGAAAACACAAAACTAATTATGCTGAATCTTCCCTAATGGAACGAGAATTTAGATTAATGATAATTTGGGGAGATCAATACATTTTTCTCATCACTGTAGTGTGTGCGTGTGCACTTCTGTGCGCGCGCGTGCGTGCGTGTCTGGTATGAGGAGCGGGATATTAAGGCCGCCTGGTTATTGGCTGAGTTAGAATGATGATGGTGATGATGGGGTGGGGTGTCCCACTTAGAGTTTCTCCTCATCTAATCTCCCACACATGCGTTTCCCTGGCTACCTTTCGCTCACATGATCAAACATCGCAGTGCAGGAATGGATTCCTTTTTTATTTTTGCTTGTTCCTAGCCTCCTCTCTTGTTTTGCTCCCTTGTGGTTGCGCTTTGAGTTAGAGAATATATTCCTCATACCGTCATGTCCCGCCTTGTGGGCCAGCAGTTGGAGATGCCGCGTGCGCCCTCCTTTCATGCCACTGAAGTAGTTGCCTCCCAGGCTTTTATTGATAATGCTGCCTTCACTGCAGTGACTGGAGATTGCTGCGTATCAGGGAATAGATGGGAGCTGTCTGTCTTAGGGCCTGGCCTGTCACCCTCATGTCTTCCTTTTCTTTCTATATTGTGTTCTCACTCTTCCCATAAGTATCTAATGTCTTCTTTCCCCTTTACTCTCACTTAGCTGCATGTTTCCCTGCAAACGCCCCCAGCTTCTGCCTCAGTCTTGTGATTTTCAGTATTTTATAATTCCCTTCTTCCCTCCTCCTCATAATTCTTCAGATAGCTTCTTCACCATTGTTAGTATTTCCTGTATAATAAGGATATGGAAGCTCTGCTTGTTCTTTGCACAATAGAGGCTTTACCACAGTGTCATTGCTGGTGACAGGGTTCTAAATCTTTTTTGTGCCCCTTTCTTTTTTCCCTTTTTTTTTTGTTGGCCTGCGATGGATGTAGTTTGGGATTGCCACAAGCTCACCTGAGGCAGAGCTCTGTGTACGGGGCTGCTGCATCCATTTCTGAAACACATCACCTGCCTCATCAAATGTGTTCTTTGCATATGCAAATGTTCAACGTGCAGTCATGGGCCGTTTGTCTGCACACACGCGCATAAACGCGCAAGGTCGTGATGTGTGATAAATTAAGAGACTTTGAGGGGTGTGGTGAAACGGAAAATAATTTCCCAAAAAGGTTTTTTGATTAATCACGTCTGTTTCAGACATTCAAGGTCAGGTTCCCTCCGATCGCGTCTTCTTCTTTTTCACGCGAGCGAATCCTCACGTTCTCTCTCGTGCACTCACAACGGCACATTTTTCTGTCAAACCCAATCCAATCTCCGGCTCGTTTCCTTGTTCGGCCCTATCTGCCGACACAATGAGATTCTCTGTGTTGTGTCTCTCCATCTCTCATAAGCACCCGTGTGTGTATGTGTGTGTGTGTGTGTCCTGCTGCTGCTGTAATTGAAGTCGTAACTCAGAGCTAGATACAGTGCTGCTGCTCCCCATGTAAATCAGCAGCTAATAGTAGGAGCGAGCAGAAAACGGCCCTG